AGGCATTCGATCGTACGGTGCACGCTTTGAAGTGCCCGCCGATGAAGGCCCTAGTCTCGCGAACGTGACGCCGAGGTCGATTTTGTGTCAACGCGCAAGCTTTTATTTAACTTGCCCTGTCGTCCGCTCAAATCCCTCCAAATCTACCGACGCTTTAATATCTTCGGATCGCCGAAGCCTTAACGAGCTGAAATGTTGCACGCACAGATTCGTCTACAGCGCGTGAGAATTCAAGATTTTTCATTTAAAGGACCGTCCAGGTCCCCCCGACTATCCTGGACCTGTCTCCGTGGTCAAGAATTTTTTTAACTATATTTTTTATTGCACTATATTTGAAATACATTGCTAGAATTATCCAGACGATAATGAACTCTTAACTAATGTCTGGATTGGGATCTTAGAATGAATAGGCACACGTGCAAATTAACATTAAAATAAATTAGGTGATAAACACGACGAGTTGTTTCAATGCGCATACCTTCGCGTGCACTCAAAAGCAGAAAATAAATTTGATCCCAGCATGAATCAAATTTTACGTGCCGAATAACAGCGGGTGGTTTCCTTTAGATGCGTTCCAATTTTTCTTCACGCAAGCCACTCCACTTTTATTCGGCGGCAGAGGGGAGAGCTCTCCACAAATTCCAACCAGCGGCACCGTTTTGCGCGTTTTGTTTACGCAGGGAAATTGGTGGGAGGGGGGGGGTCTACAGTCGCAGACGTTAGAATAAACAATCAGCCAATCAGCGCCTCGCAGTGCCACCACGTGGGCAAAAAAATAAAAAGGGGTGGCAAAGGCGCAGCCCTGCAATTGCCCGCCCGTCCGTGCTGCCACTGGCCCGAAGGTACCCCCCCCCCCCCCCCAAGTCAGAGGACGAGCGCTCTGAGAGTGATATTTACTCAGCGGCCCTTCCACGCTTGGCCGGTACGTCTTGTAAGACGATGACGACGAAGACGATGATGGTGGCGATGATGATGACGATGATGATGACGATGATGATGATGACGATGATGACAAAGACGTTGATGGTGACGATGACGAAGACGATGATGGTGGCGATGATGATGACGATGACGATGACAAAGACGTTGATGGTGACGATGACGAAGACGATGATGGTGGCGGTGACGAAGACGATGACGATGACGAGGACGAAGATGATGACGATGACGACGACGATGATGGTGACGATGGCGAAGACGACGAAGGGGTCGTGGCGTTCCATCACACGAGAAATATTAAAAGGTGCAGCCCCTGCAAGTGCTCGCCCCACCGCTTGCGGCAGGACGCGGCTCTAGAGCAGGGGTCGACTCTCTATAGAGCAGTGGTCGACTCTCTAGACTCTAGAGCAGTGGTCGACTCTCTATAGAGCAGTGGTCGACTCTCTAGACTCTAGAGCAGTGGTCGACTCTCTAGACTCTAGAGCAGGGGTCGACTCTCTAGACTCTAGAACAGTGGTCGACTCTCTAGACTCTCGAGCAGGGGTCGACTCTCTAGACTCTAGAGCAGGGGTCGACTCTCTATAGAGCAGTGGTCGACTCTCTAGACTCTAGAGCAGTGGTCGACTCTCTAGACTCTAGAGCAGGGGTCGACTCTCTAGACTCTAGAGCAGGGGTCGACTTTCTAGACTCTAGAGCAGTGGTCGACTCAACAGAGTAGGGGTCGACTCTCTATACTCTAGAGCAGCGGTCGACTCTCTAGACTCTAGAGCAGGGATCGACTCTCTAGACTCTAGAGCAGGGGTCGACTCTCTAGACTCTAGAGCAGGGGTCGACTCTCTAGACTCTAGAGCAGGGGTCGACTCTCTAGACTCTAAAGCAGGGGTCGACTCTCTAGACTCTAGAGCAGGGGTCGACTCTCTAGACTCTAAAGCAGGGGTCGACTCTCTAGACTCTAGAGCAGGGGTCGACTCTCTAGACTCTAGAGCAGGGATCGACTCTCTAGACTCTAGAGCAGGGGTCGACTCTCTAGACTCTAGAGCAGGGATCGACTCTCTAGACTCTAGAGCAGTGGTCGACTCTCTAGACTCTAGAACAGTGGTCGACTCTCTAGACTCTAGATCAGTGGTCGACTCTCTAGAGAGCAGTGGTCGACTCTCTAGACTCTAGAGCAGTGGTCGACTCTCTAGACTCTAGAACAGGGGTCGACTCTCGACTCTAGAACAGGGGTCGACTCTCTAGACTCTAGATCAGTGGTCGACTCTCTAGACTCTAGAGCAGGGGTCGACTCTCTAGACTCTAGAGCAGGGGTCGACTCTCTAGACTCTAGAACAGTGGTCGACTCTCTAGACTCTAGAGCAGGGGTCGACTCTCTAGACTCTAGAGCAGGGGTCGACTCTCTGTAGAGCAGTGGTCGACTCTCTAGACTCTAGAGCAGGGGTCGACTCTCTAGACTCTAGAGCAGTGGTCGACTCTCTAGACTCTAGAACAGGGGTCGACTCTCTAGACTCTAGAGCAGTGGTCGACTCTCTAGACTCCAGAACAGTGGTCGACTCTCTAGACTCTAGAGCAGGGGTCGACTCTCTAGAGCAGTGGTCGACTCTCTAGATAATAGAGCAGGGGTCGACTTTCTAGACTCTAGAGCAGTGGTCGACTCTCAACAAAGTAGGGGTCGACTCTCTAGACTCTAGAGCAGCGGTCGACTCTCTAGACTCTAGAGCAGGGGTCGACTCTCTAGACTCTAGAGCAGGGGTCGACTCTCTAGACTCTAGAGCAGGGGTCGACTCTCTAGACTCTAGAGCAGGGGTCGACTCTCTAGACTCTAGAGCAGGGGTCGACTCTCTAGACTCTAGAGCAGGGGTCGACTCTCTAGACTCTAGAGCAGGGGTCGACTCTCTATAGAGTAGGGGTCGACTCTCTAGATTCTAGAGCAGTGGTCGACTCTCTAGACTCTAGAGCAGGGGTCGACTCTCTAGACTCTAGAGCAGGGGTCGACTCTCTAGACTCTAGAGCAGTGGTCGACTCTCAACAGAGTAGGGGTCGACTCTCTAGATTCTAGATCAGTGGTCGACTCTCTAGACTCTAGAACAGTGGTCGACTCTCTAGACTCTAGAACAGTGGTCGACTCTCTAGACTCTAGAGTAGGGGTCGACTCTCTAGAGAGCAGTGGTCGACTCTCTATACTCTAGAGCAGTGGTCGACTCTCTAGACTCTAGAGCAGGGGTCGACTCTCTAGACTCTAGAGCAGTGGTCGACTCTCTAGACTCTAGAACAGTGGTCGACTCTCTAGACTCTAGATCAGTGGTCGACTCTCTAGAGAGCAATGGTCGACTCTCTAGACTCTAGAGCAGTGGTCGACTCTCTAGACTCTAGAACAGGGGTCGACTCTAGAACAGGGGTCGACTCTCTAGACTCTAGATTAGTGGTCGACTCTCTAGACTCTAGAGCAGGGGTCGACTCTCTATAGAGCAGTGGTCGACTCTCTAGACTCTAGATCAGTGGTCGACTCTCTAGACTCTAGAGCAGTGGTCGACTCTCTAGACTCTAAAGCAGGGGTCGACTCTCTAGACTCTAGAGCAGTGGTCGACTCTCTATAGAGCAGTGGTCGACTCTCTATAGAGCAGTGGTCGACTCTCTAGACTCTAGAGCAGTGGTCGACTCTCTAGACTCTAGAGCAGGGGTCTACTCTCTAGACTCTAGAGCAGGGGTCGACTCTCTAGAGCAGTGGTCGACTCTCTAGACTCTAGAACAGTGGTCGACTCTCTAGAGTAGTGGTCGACTCTCTAGAGCAGTGGTCGACTCTCTAGACTCTAGATCAGTGGTCGACTCTATAGACTCTAGAGCAGGGGTCGACTCTCTAGACCCTAGAGCAGGGGTCGACTCTCTACACTCCAGAGCAGGGGTCGACTCTCTAGACTCTAGATCAGTGGTCGACTCTCTAGACTCTAGATCAGTGGTCGACTCTCTAGACTCTAGAGCAGTGGTCGACTCTCTAGACTCTAGAGCAGTGGTCGACTCTCTAGACTCTAGAACAGTGGTCGACCCTCTAGACTCTAGAGCAGTGGTCGACTCTCTAGCCTCTAGAGCAGGGGTCGACTCTCTAGAGCAGTGGTCGACTCTCTAGATTCTAGATCAGTGGTCGACTCTATAGACTCTAGAGCAGTGGTCGACTCTCTAGACTCTAGAGCAGTGGTCGACTCTCTAGACTCTAGAACAGTGGTCGACCCTCTGGACTCTAGATCAGTGGTTGACTCTCTATAGAGTAGAGGTCGACTCTCTAGGCTCTAGATCAGTGGTCGACTCTCTATAGAGCAGTGGTCGACTCTCTAGACTTTGGACCATTTTGGGTTGACCGACCCCTGACTGTGGGAGCCCAATTTAAAGTGGGGGTCCAGCTCACCACGGGAATCCACGCCCGGCGAACGTTCCCCTGTCAACGTCGCCACTCCCACGCCACTCCCACGCCACTCCCACGCCACTCCCACGCCACTCCCACACCACTCCCACGCCACTCCCACGCCACTCCCACGCCACTCCCACGCCACTCCCATGCCACTCCCACGCCACTCCCGCTTTGGGCTCTTCGACGGGTCGGGCGGTCGGGGCAGCGGAGGTCGAAGTGAACCGAACTGAACCGGCGATCTCCGCGGATTCCCGTCGGCGCGCCCGCCACTAGCGCCCACCGTGTTTCGACACCGCGCGCGGAACGTCCGGCACGCCGCCGGGACCGCCCCGAGCCGGGAAGTCGATGGTCCCCCGTCGAGTTTCCTTCGCACCGTACGGTGAGCGAGCGACGGCGAGCGATCGCGGAGACCCCCGAAGCCGGAGAGCGGGCGCACTACACAAGGCCCGGGCCGCGGGGAAACTCCGCGCTCCGCTCAAAAACTGGGTCCGGTGCAGCCGCGAGGAAACGGCGTTCGGCGCGGCGAACATCCCCCCGGCGAGCTCGGGGAGCGAGCGGGCGCGTTGCCGCGGCGACGCGGCGAGGGACGCACCGCGGAGGGGGGCGGGGGGGGGGGGAGGCGAGGGGGGCAGGGCAGGGCAAGGTCAAGGCAGGGCAGCACCTCCAGGTAAGGCACGCCGGTGTTGGAGGGCTGCGGGTAGTCGCGCAGGGGCCGCTCCTCGTCGAAGAACTTGCCGGCGCGGCCGTTGCAGGCGGGCTGGAAGAGGCCGTAGTTGAGGGCGTCGCTGAGGCTCTGCGTGAGCGTCTGCAGGATGCGCTGCTTGGCCTCGCGCACCAGCGCATCCGGGTTGAAGCGCAGGCACTTCTGCTCGAACGGGAGCGCGCGAGAGAGCGAAACGCAGATCATCAGTTGACAGGCGCGGGCGCTTCGCGGCCAACGCCACGGTTCACTGCGAAGTCAGATGACGCTCTCATTTAACGCGGGAAAGCCTCCAACGGGCCTCAAGACTCAGGAGGGTCCTGGCCAAGCTTTCCCCTCTCCTTCGACCGGTGCCGCCCCCCCCTCACCGCGACCGGTGCCGCCCCGCCCCCCCCACCCTCCCCGCGACCGGCGCCGCCCCCCGCCCCCGTGACCGCCCTCACCGTCTGGTGCAGCTCGGGCACGCCGACGCGCACCACCATCGTGTTGAGGCCGGCGTCGTCGCCGGCTCCCGGCGCTCGCTCCGCTGTGGCGCGGATCGTGTCGTAGATGGTCTCCTCGCGCGCCGAGCCCTCGCCGTCAGACTCGCCGCCGCCGCCGCCGCCGCCGCTGCCCTCCGAGCCGCTGGCGACCGTCCCATCCTCGCTGGGAGGGGGGCTCACGGGCATGGCTGCCGCCACCGCCGCCACGCTTCACATCACTGCGGGGGCGGGGCGGCACGCGACGGCACGGTTAGGGGGGCGCGCTACGGACGCCGGCGACGCCGGCGACGCCGCCGCCGCCACCGGCGCAGTTGTGCTCAGAGGCGATTTCGGCGCGGTGCCCGACGTTTCGCGCCACGCGCTGGGAGCTCCTACCTTCTTCTTCCTCTTCAGGGTCGAGCTTGGTTCAGTTTATTGAGGAAGGCGCCCGGCAAAAGCGGAACGAGATGCCGGGCGCCAGACGCACGGCGTTTGGTTTTTCCCGTCCTTCCCACGCGCACCTCCGATTGGCGCGGGCTGGCTACGTACGGCGCGAAAGAAGTTCGACGTTCGAACAACGCGCGCATCCGCCCGGAGGTGATCCTGATTTAACTGCAAATCAAGCGATTGTTTGACGGACAGACAGGCGGATGGACGAGCACGCGCGTAGATGCAGGAAAAAAATGTACATACAGAACGGAGGAAGTGAAACTTGCACGACAACCACAACCGCTGTTCGCAAACAAAGTGGCGGTAACATCAACCTGGGCGATCGTGTCATGGCGAGGCGCTTGCGCCAGGTTAGGTGCGCTGCAGAGCCTCGACAGACTCGCCTCGCTCTCGTAGAGAGGCGACGATGATGACCACACGACTGCCGGAAGTCATCGCTCACCCGACCCGGATTCACAGAGCCCTCGGAAACTCACCAGCGCGCAACAGTTGCGAGCGGTGGCACGGCAGTTAGCTCACCTGCGCTACGTAATCTGACAAACTTGATTCGATTTTCTGGTCACGGCCAACATCCGAGGTCTGAGACTCACACAGAGACCCATAGACTCACACAGAGACCCATAGACTCACACAGAGACCCATACACTCGCACAGAGAACCATACACTCGCACAGAGACCCATAGACTCACACAGAGACCCATAGACTCGCACAGAGACCCATAGACTCACACAGAGACACATAAACTCACAAAGAGACCCATAGGCTCACACAGAGACCCATAGACTCACACAGATATCCATAGACTCACACAGAGACCCATAGACTCACACAGAGACCCATAGACTCACACAGAGACCCATAGACTCAACCAGAGACCCATAGACTCACACAGAGACCCATAGACTCGCACAGAGACGCATAGACTCACATAGAGACTCACAGACTCAGACAGAGACCCATAGACTCACACAGAGACCCATAGACTCGCACAGAGATCCACAGACTCACACAGAGATGCATAGACTCACATAGAGACTCACAGACTCACACAGAGACCCATAGACTCAAACAGAGACCCATAGACTCACACAGAGACCCATAGACTCGCACAGAGATCCACAGACTCACACAGAGACGCATACACTCACATAGAGACCCACAAACTCACACAGAGACCCATAGACTCACACAGTCACCCATAGACTCACACAGAGACCCATAGACTCACACAGAGACCCATAGACTCGCACAGAGACCGATAGACTTACACAGAGACCCATAGACCCACACAGAGACCCACAAACTCACACAGAGACCCATAGACTCACACAGAGCCCCATAGACTCGTAAAGAGACCCATAGACTCACACAGAGACCCATAGACCCACAAAGAGACCCACAGACTCACACAGAGACCCATAGACTCACACAGAGACCCACAGACTCGCACAGAGACCCACAGACTCACACAGAGACCCATAGACTCACACAGAGACCCATAGACTCACACGGAAACCCATAGACTCACACAGAGACCCATAGACTCACACAGAGACCCACAGACTCGCACAGAGACCCACAGACTCACACAGAGACCCATAGACTCACACAGAGACCAATAGACTAACACGGAGACCCACAGACTCACACAGAGACCCACAGACTCACACAGAGACCCATAGACTCACACAGAGACCCATAGACTCACACAGAGACCCATAGACTCACACAGAGACCCACAGACTCACACAGAGACCCATAGACTCGCACAGAGACCCATAGACTCACACAGAGACCCATAAACTCACAAAGAGACCCATAGGCTCACACAGAGACCCATAGACTCACACAGATATCCATAGACTCACACAGAGACCCATATACTCACACAGAGACCCATAGACTCACACAGTCACCCATAGACTCACACAGAGACCCATAGACTCGCACAGAGACCCATAGACTTACACAGAGACCCATATACCCACACAGAGACCCACAAACTCACACAGAGACCCATAGACTCACACAGAGACCTATAGACCCACACAGAGACCCACAGACTCACACAGAGACCCATAGACCCACACAGAGACCCACAGACTCACACAGAGACCCATAGACTCACACGGAGACCCACAGACTCACACAGATATCCATAGACTCACACAGAGACCCATAGACTCACACAGAGACCCATAGACTCACACAGTCACCCATAGACTCACACAGAGACCCATAGACTCGCACAGAGACCCATAGACTTACACAGAGACCCATATACCCACACAGAGACCCACAAACTCACACAGAGAACCATAGACTCACACAGAGACCTATAGACTCGCATAGAGACCCATAGACTCACACAGAGACCCATAGACCCACACAGAGACCCACAGACTCACACAGAGACCCATAGACTCACACGGAGACCCACAGACTCACACAGAGATCCCCAACACCTCGGATCAGCACTGCTGGCCACGTACGGTGCGAATGAATATATACACATGTTACTTTTATTATTCCCATGATCATCACCCTATTATATGTATTATTTGGTTTATATTTATAGCCACGGCGAGCCGATGAGTGCGAGCGAGCGAGAAAGGGGGAATTAATCAATGGCCCCTAAGTGACGTTCACTCTTCAAGGGCAGGGGGGGTGGGCGGTGGGGGGAGGTGGGGGGGGGGGGTGGCAGTGGGAGCAGGAGGGGGTGGGGGGGTGGTAGTGGGAGCAGGAGGGGGGGTGGTAGTGGGAGCAGGAGGGGGTGGTGGCTTCGTGTGGCTCTCGAGTCGCGTGACGCACCGCGGCGCGAGCGGGGGCGATCGACCGGCCCCACGAGCCGCCCCGGCGCTCGTGGGCGCCTTAAAATCGCCGCCGCAACCGCCGCCGCCGCCGCTGCCTTCAATTGCCTTCGCGACAGCCAGCCGCACGTGCGCCCACGCACGCACGAACACTCGGCGAGAGAGATTCATTCGTGGGGGGGGGTAACTCGGGGCCTATTCGTAGAAATAAATACAATTGGAGGGAATGAAACGTCAGCTCAAATTCAGACAGGAATAAACGTACCACGCGGTAATTATTGTAATGACGATGAAAACGATCATTTCAACGCGTGACGTGCCACTGCAGAGTCCTCGCGTGAGAATCTGTGGGTCTCTGTGTGAGTCTGTGGGTCTCTGTGTGAGTCTGTGGGTCTCTGTGTGAGTCTATGGGTCTCTGTGTGAGTCTATGGGTCTCTGTGTGAGTCTGTGGGTCTCTGTGTGAGTCTATGGATCTCTGTGCGAGTCTATGGGTCTCTGTGCGAGTCAATGGGTCTCTGCATGAGTCAATGGGTCTCTGTTTGAGTCTATGGGTCTCTGTTTGAGTCTATGGGTCTCTGTGCGAGTCTATGGGTCTCTGTGTGAGTCTATGGGTCTCTGCATGAGTCAATGGGTCTCTGTGTGAGTCTGTGGGTCTCTGTGTGAGTCTATGGATCTCTGTGTGAGTATATGGGTCTCTGTGTGAGTCTATGGGTCTCTGTGTGAGTCTATGGGTCTCTGTGTGAGTCTATGGGTCTCTGTGTGAGTCTATGGGTATCTGTGTGAGTCTATGGGTCTCTGTGTGAGTCTATGGGTCTCTGCATGAGTCAATGGGTCTCTGTGTGAGTCTATGGATCTCTGCATGAGTCAATGGGTCTCTGTGTGAGTCTGTGGGTCTCTGTGTGAGTCTGTGGGGCTCTGCATGAGTCAATGGGTCTCTGTGTGAGTCTATGGGTCTCTGCATGAGTCTATGGGTCTCTGTGCGAGTCTATGGGTCTCTGTGTGAGTCTATGGGTCTCTGCATGAGTCAATGGGTCTCTGTGTGAGTCTGTGGGTCTCTGTGTGAGTCTATGGATCTCTGTGCGAGTCTATGGGTCTCTGTGTGAGTATATGGGTCTCTGTGTGAGTCTATGGGTCTCTGTGTGAGTCTATGGGTCTCTGTGTGAGTCTATGGGTCTCTGTGTGAGTCTATGGGTATCTGTGTGAGTCTATGGGTCTCTGTGTGAGTCTATGGGTCTCTGCATGAGTCAATGGGTCTCTGTGTGAGTCTATGGATCTCTGCATGAGTCAATGGGTCTCTGTGTGAGTCTGTGGGTCTCTGTGTGAGTCTGTGGGGCTCTGCATGAGTCAATGGGTCTCTGCGTGAGTCTATGGGTCTCTGCATGAGTCAATGGGTCTCTGCGTGAGTCTGTGGGTCTCTGTGTGAGTCTGTGGGTCTCTGTGTGAGTCTGTGGGTCTCTGTGTGAGTCTATGGGTCTCTGTGTGAGTCAATGGGTCTCTGTGTGAGTCAATGGGTCTCTGTGTGAGTCTGTGGGTCTCTGTGTGAGTCTGTGGGTCTCTGTGTGAGTCTATGGGTCTCTGTGTGAGTCTATGGGTCTCTGTGCGAGTCTATGGGTCTCTGCATGAGTCAATGGGTCTCTGTGTGAGTCTATGGATCTCTGCATGAGTCAATGGGTCTCTGCGTGAGTCTGTGGGTCTCTGTGTGAGTCTGTGGGTCTCTGCATGAGTCAATGGGTCTCTGTGTGAGTCTATGGGTCTCTGTTTGAGTCTATGGGTCTCTGTTTGAGTCTATGGGTCTCTGTGCGAGTCTATGGGTCTCTGTGTGAGTCTATGGGTCTCTGCATGAGTCAATGGGTCTCTGCGTGAGTCTGTGGGTCTCTGTGTGAGTCTATGGGTCTCTGTGTGAGTATATGGGTCTCTGTGTGAGTCTATGGGTCTCTGTGTGAGTCTATGGGTCTCTGTGTGAGTCTATGGGTCTCT